TTTTCTCCAATATCTTTACGATTGACTGAAATTACCAAGGAGAAACATAATAAACGATGCAATTAAAAAAATGATAATAGGTATTATTTAATATTAAAAGAAATCTATTTCGTGAAGGATTACGCCAACTTGAATCTGAAAGTTATAAGTTAAAATTTTTTTTCTTTTTTTTAGAGGAAAAAACGTCAAAAATTTTTGTATTCAAGAGTCTAACCTAATCAAAACAATAATTAATTTATTTCGTGTCATTTTTTTACCCGAATTATGTACGTCACGAATTTATTTCACATTTAAATAAATCTCCGTAAATGAGAGAAAAATTTATTTTCATTATTTTGTTATTATTTGGTTATATACTCCAATCATCACAAATAATTCTCATTGAAAATTAGAGATTTTTTGTTGGATAAAAAAATTATAGGTTTTTTAAAAAATTGGTAGTATCGCTTACCTTATCTTTTTACTGTAAATAAATGTATAGAACAAATAGTTCCTGCAGTAAAAATTTAAAATTAGTCGAATAATATTGTTACAAAAACTGTATAACGGTTAAAATAAAGAGAAATCAGATTTACTTAATCGCTTAAAATTACGAAACATTATTTATAGACACAATCTAGTAATGAAATGTATTTTATTTTTTTTTTTTATTTCATTTTTGACTTTTAACAAAAATTATATGACACTACTAGTATTTAATTTTATTGTAGATACCTAATAGTATAAGCAAGAAGGCGTGCCAGGGACGTTCAAATTAGAAAAACCCATGACTTGAATTCCATCTAGGGATAGGAAAATTTTATCAGAAATGATAGTTGCTCATCGAAATACGTTATAATACTTTTTCTAGTTTACGCTTAAATACAAAACGCAAACTTTTTTTGTATAATTAACATAATACTTGTATTTTTGTAATCATCTATCGTACACTATCGTACTTAGATTAAATTATTTAAATTTTATAAATTTAAAATATTGTCCGTGAGATAATTTTTTGTCTTAAACATTGAAATTTTAAAATAAATTTTAATGGGTTTTTTGAGGTTTTTCTGGCACGTAACATTTTGAATGTCGAGTATCTTTTTAATATTCAAATTGTATCAGATCAATAAATGTTGGCCAGTAAATAATATATTAATAATAAATTAATAGTCCAAAATGATTATAAAACGTAGGTACAAATATTTTGAAAAAAATTTGGTTTTTGTAAGCTTCAAGGAAGTTGTATCGTAAAATTAAAAATTAAAAAAAAAAACTTTATACATAACCGCATCTCTTATAACGTATTAAATTTTTTAGACAAATTAAAGGTGATAATATTTGACTTATTGTAGTTGGAGAAAAACTAAACCTTGCTTTATTAAAATCAAATTATATTTGAACATTTTCTATGAAAAAGGGTGTTATTTTATTAGCTAGTTAAATATTACCTTGATAGATTAATTAGAAAATGATATTTTTTAGATGATCATTTTTCTTGTGGATAACATCCTTTAATAAAAAATGATAACGACTAAAAGATACAGCTCTTTTAACAAAAGTTGAATCCAATTACAAAATTGGCTAAATTATGCAGTAAAATCAGATGAGCTTGAGTCAGTTTTACTGGTAAAATTCACAGTAAGTACAATCACTACACACTATAGTACAGTTGGATTAAAAAAAAAAAAAAAGACTCTCCTGGTACATTTGGTTTTGTATTTAGTATGCCTTCGTGATGTTGCCATTGACATAATTTGGCCATTGTTGACTGCACTAGAGTAAGTGCATGTGTACGTGTGAGCACGTGAAATCTCGATCAACTTGAGTCATAGTTTGGTAAGACGGAAAATTCAATGTAACGCAAGAGAATCCCGCACCTGGCACACTCACACGCAATTTTTGACCTCGGTGCTCACACAATTAAAGTGTGTACTTTTTTTTTCAAGTATTGCATGTGTGCAGCTTTATGCTCTACTGTAGGCTTCACTCATTTATAATTTAATCTGCACTCACTTATGAACAATAAATTATAAGCGTTTGAATAAATGAGTGATACATGCACTATTTACAAGCGCACTGAATAATTTATACCCTCGATATGTTTAACTTTATTTTCGATAAAAGAATTCTCGAGTTTACCATGAATTTTGTTGATGAAAGATATTCGTTCACATCGTTAATTTTATCATATCATTACTGTGCTCAATACTTCAAGGTTCTCTGGACATCGAAAAGTTCAAGGCATTTTATCTTACTGTTATGAATTATTACATATATTACAAAGAATAATTGAAAAATTGGTTCACGTTTCAATTTCATGTAAATAGTTTGTTTCTTTACACGAGTTAATAAGATTATCGTTAGAGTAATTAAATAATCTTAGAATTACTAATAAATAATGTTTATTGAAAAAAGCACTAAGAGTTTGAAAATTTTATCGCGTTGTATTTTTATTTTTTGCTCTTCTGTGAGTTAAAGAAGTTGGCTAGTGTTACGATAATCGAATTAAACCATTACTAAACAGTCGTACTATGTGAATACGTTTAAATAAGTTGATTTTGTTTTTCAAGCAGTTAAAATTTTCTTAAAACCTAAAAAAAAAGTGAAACTTTTGAGATTATTCATGGTAATAATATGATGTATAAGAAATATTAAAAACATATTATTTTAAATTTCTCCTGGTTAAATTTTTAAAATATTTTTACTTTCAATTTAAGTGAATAAGAAATGCCTACACATTTTCAGTAACCTTAAATATAAACAAAAAAAATTATTTTATAAATTCTTCAACAAATAAAAATTGTTAAAATATATCCCAAAAATATGTACCATGACTTTAATAATTAACACACTTATTAAAAAAGTGTACATTTCATTTACAACAGCCGACTTCTTTCATACGTTTGAACTTTATAAATCTACAAAAGAAATTCGACCAAAATACTAATAACGTTTGTTGAAATTATTTTTTAACAATTGTAGTAAGCTTTATAACATATAAATGAGCCTTTGTAAACTTCGTAGTTAACTGCTATATTTATCATACATCATGTGTTTTTGTATGTTTTGTCAAATTTTTTGTACTTATTATGATTAATGTTTAGTTGTTTCATGTATATATTAAATATTTATAATAACAGCAGTTAGAGCTCCAAACTTTTAAACATCAAGAATTATTACATGGTATTTATAGATGTACATTTAAAATAATATCAAGAAGTGGGTGAAATAAAGTAAACTTAAACTAATGTGTCAATTTCCAAAGAAAATTCTGGATTCACATAGGTGACATTTATTTAAATACAGTAGTAATGAACGTGTACTTGTAAATATAGTAATAAATAACAACATTTACTAATACGTAGGAGATACATATTTTAATAGCTATCCTTGGTTATCAATTACTTTATTTTATAACATAATCATCAAAATAATTTTTTTTTAATGTTACAACTTTTGCATTCACAACTTTGTTGAAGAATGTACAAATTTTGTTGCAATTTTTATTTGTAGTACTGTGTGAAAAATAAGTGTTTACTACTCTGTTTTTGATGTGAGAAATCTAATTTTTCTCTTTGTTCAAAAGAAAGTACGAGAAACGATTTTTTTATTTTCCGGTGTACGATAATAGTTTTATCGCTTTGTGGTTAATTTTTCTATATGAAACTATTTTAAATAGCTTGCTGAAAAATTCTCCACCATCTTTGAAACAATGTTCACTGTTGTTAAAAAGCAATTTAAATTTTACTTGAAATTAATTTTCAATTTATTGTATCCATGAAATTCAAAAACAAGTTTTGTAAGCTCATGTAAGTAAAATTTAACAGTTTTCTTTTCAAACCTGAATAATTGCGTGGAATGCTATGTATTTCGTATGATTCTTTAAAAAAAATTTTTTAAATTATATTCAACTTATAAAACCAAATTTATTTTTAAGTTTTTAAGGAAAGTTGGTGTGTTTCTTTTTCAAAGATACGATTATTTAGTTTTTTTCAATCGAGGGGCTTTACTCCCCTACTCCCATACCAAGAGCTTTGCCTCTAGACCGTAAAAATTTTTTTTGCGAACCATAAGTAATCTAAAATTTTATATCAGTTTTTTAATTTTGGAAAATAATGACTATACATATTTATTATGCGTTATATATATTAAGTTGGTTTATAAATACTCGTACTTCTGACTTCACGATTATACACTGAGAGAACAAAATAATAAAAGTTATTGAGAATTTCCAAAAAAATTACGATTATGCACAGTAAATCGAATGCAAACTGGCAAAAAAGAAAAAAAAAATTTAATGGCAAAAATTATTGTTTCAACAATTAAAATTAAAGTTCGAAAAGTAAAAATTATGGTTAGAACAGTAAAAATTACTATGCTGGAAATTAAAATTTATTCACCAATCCTTTTAAGGTTTACTGTTCCAGCATGGTGATTTTTACTATTCTGACCATGATTCAAAATATTCAAACCATAATTTTTACTGTTAAATCAACAATCGTTACTATTAAAAATAATAATTGTTTCCTTTTTTGCTAGCTTATCTGATTTAATGGGAAGAGTGGTAATTTATACTGGAATTTCTCTATAATTATTATTTTTTTCTGTCAATGTACACATATCCTAGACAAAAATGTATGATGCAAAAAAAAATTAATTATGGCGAGACTAAAAACTTTTTGCGTCACGTAGAACAAAATAAAAAAAGTACATGTTTCAAATTTATTTTGAATTACAATTATATGTAACTTTTAATTACACTTAAATGTCATTCCACTTTAAAAATTCCACTCAATTTTTCATTTTTTTTTCCTACTAATTATATTTATTAGTAATTGCGAAATCTCAGCAAAAATTGAAACACTTACTGTTAAAATTATCTGAACATCGATGAAATTTGAACAAGTGCTCTTTTTTTACATGAACATGATGTTGCAATGTTAAGGCTTTGCATTACAATTGTCCACATTTTAATAATTAAATTAAGCCTTCCTGGGCTCAAAACATATTATAAACTTTCAGAAAAATGATTCCTCACCGGTATGCAAGCGAATATGCTTTTCCAAATCATCTTTGTGAGTAAAACAACCACTGCAATAATCGCACTGAACCAGACGCAAGCCAGTATGTTTACGAGAATGTGCTTTTAAATTAGATTTTAATCTAAAGGATTTGTCGCAAATATCACATTCGTATGGCTTCTCAGTGCTATGAATACGAAGGTGTTTGATAAGATGATATTTTCTAAAAAAAGATTTTTGACAATGAGAACACGTGTAGGGTCTCTCGCCGGAGTGTGCGCCACGAACGTGTCTGGTAAGATGATGATGTCTAGGAAAACTTTTTTGACATTGCTTGCATTTGTGGGGTCGCTCGCCACAGTGTATGCTACGAACGTGTTGGACAAGATCATACTTTCGAGAAAAAGTATGTTTACATTGGGTGCAGTTGTAATCGTGGAGTCGCTTGTCTGTAGAGTGTACGATATTCAAGTGCTCGATAAGACGATGTTTTCGAAAAAAAGATTTTTTACAATCAGTACAATTGTGGGGTCGCTCGCCCCAGTGTACACGACGCATGTGCTGGACCAGATCATACTTTCGAGAAAAAGATTTTTCACACTCGGTACATTTGTGGGGTCGATCGCCAATGTGTACGCTACGGACGTGTTCCATGAGTTGGTCTTGTCGATAAAATTCTGTACCGCAAATTTTACATTCGTGTGGGTTTTCGTCAAAGTGTACGCTATTGATGTGATTTATTAGGAGATTTTTTTCACCAAAAGATTCATCACAGAGTGTACATTTGTGGGGTTTGTTGTTGGCATGTCTAGTACGAATGTGCCTGTCAAAGTTACAAGACTTGATGAATATTCCGCAAAATTCGCACAAAAAATGGGATCCGTCGTTGCGTTTATTCGTCTGCATGTCTTTACAAAGACTTTATTTGATGACGTTGACTCGTTAACATGTATTCCTTTATGTATGTGGATAGATGTCTTGCCAGAAACAGAAAAATTTTTCGCCCCTTTCCTTTGGATCTGGAGGCTGAAAATGAAAAATCATTAAGTATCTGGATTTAAAATTTTGTTTGAAAAATGTTAATTTCCGATATTTTGAAAAGAAGCGATGATATGAGGCAACAATCTTTTTCTTAAAAAAACGTTATCATCATCCACATTCCATTGGTTTGAAATCATTGATTAGTTTTTAACTTGTATCTTATATCCAAGTCTTAAACCAACTGCGTAGGTGTAATAGTCGGTTATAAAAAATCTTTATAAAATTATTGAAGCAAAACTCACCTTCGTTTTCGAATCAAATTGGGGGTTACTACGATTATTTATCTACGTAACCACTTGTGTGACATGTACAAAATCACACCTAAAACACAAAATCGATTCACTGCATATGCAATATCGTCAAACTTTTATCTTTTAACAAATAAATGCACTTCAAAATGTATTGTTTAACAAAAAAAATTACTATTCAACTTACAAGTTCAGCGAGTAATGGCTGATACTCAATTTGAGGTGTCCTTTTGAGCAGTAAATGTTTTTGGCGATGTATTAAAGTAATACCTATGTAACACCAATGACAAATGAACGACGCATATGAAAATTATGGTAGTTTTTACACCTATGAGAAGCCTCACGAATTTTAGCCACCAATCACTCGTTAGATGAAATTCTGGTATACGATTAACTAGACTGTGGTACGTCGGCGAGATAATTTTTTTTCAATATTTTTTACAAAGTCACGTTTCAATCTGCGAAGCGATAATGTTGATAAACGCCACACATTGACTTTCTGTATTTGTTTTCAACAAAAAAATACGTGCAGAAGACTGCTACGTAATCACAAAAGTTGCAAAAGAAAGCTCATGTGAATTCAAACGGATCAGCACCTCAAAATACGTTAAGTCACCGTACTATATTGGTCACCTATTAAAAGACCATCAAAACAAAATTAAATCGGCCTATGTACTAACTTCATGCAAATGAAAGAGGATCGTCTGCTGCTTGATCACGCCGAGGTCACGCCGAACGGCATAATACGTTTTTCCAAGATTCGCTTGTAATAAGTTTTCTGTACGGTAAATTGTACATCTAAGCATTTTTTCACGCATTCGTAACTCGTCAGGAAACATTTTAATATTGAAAAAAACAGAATCTTTCTACATTTTTGGTACACCATTTGATCTATTCACATGTTTAACTTTCAACATTAAATGTTCGGTATAGACAAAATGTTTTAAAATGCATTTTTAAATTTTTTATAAACATTTCGCTGATAATTTTCGGTATAGTAGCGAGTTAAACGCGGTTGTATTGACACAATACTCGACTAGTTAACTGGAGAATAAGGTTTGAGCCTCTTTAACTTGGTATAACCTTACAACTACGAACTATAATGCTTTTATATGTGCGTATGAGCTATGCAAACATTTTACAAAACATATTTGTAAACAAATAGCACAATCGTCAGAGCCGATTGACTGTACGGTAGTGGTCACATGGTCGTTGTAACGAAGGAATTCGTCACGTAAGTAAAATGAAAATTTTATTCAATATGTGGTAAAGATGGGTCAGGACAGAAATAAAACTTATCTTTAAAATTGTGAATAGTTTTTTTTATTTATTTATGTATCTGTTTGTAAGCAATTTTAAACAGAAAAGTACGCCATATTTAAGTGTGAAGTCAATTATAATTATATTGCTTTTTAGTCGTATAATACCTTATACGATCGATGTATCGAATGATTAAAAAAAAAATTTTCTATTTACACCACAAAAAGTTGTCAAATTTAGGCTTGGATTAAGCTACTTATTTCTAGCTAAAGCTGCTGGTTGTTCGTTAAGTAGGGTTACAAATAATTAATTAAAATAGTATTTTTGCTGGATGAACGAATAAAATTGTATTATGGAAATGATTATTAACGATTAGAATTTTATCTTGAACTACGAGTGGTCATAAATTAAAATCACAATTTTTAATTACAAAGTTTTTTACAATATTCTTAAAAGTAGTCTTAACATTTTTTTAAATACATTAAAGAATTTTACGTTACAAGAAAAATTAAAAAAAAAAAAACTATCATTGGTCGTTCGTTAATCATCCAAATACATTGTTTGAAACTGTGTCGTGAAGGCGATACAGATCGTTAAGATACGTTTTGCATTTAAAGATGATTACGTTACGTATATTTTTTGTTTGTGCAGTCAGATTATCCGTACTTGAATAAAAATTCTGACAAGTGATAGTAGTGCAACAAAAAAAACATCAGGGGCTCTGCCCACCCTCGTTTGCTTGCGAGTTAGATCTAATCGGCGCTGCTAACGAAATCTTGCCCTCGCTTTTTCCCCTGTAATTTTTTTTTTTTTTTTTTTTTTGCAGGACAATTTTTATTCTAATTTCGCTGTAAAATTTGCTGCAATTCCCTTTCTGAACTTACGATTTCTGACAAACTTCACGTCAAGGGGTCGCGTGCCCGTATGCGTGCGAATATGAGCCTTCAAATTATTTATCAGAGAAAAATACCAGCCACAATAGTCGCACTGAAACGGACGCTCGCCGGTATGCATGCGAGCATGCAACTTCAAACTGGACGATCTAGAAAACGTTTTTTCGCAAACCTCACATCGGTGCGGCTTTTCGCCACTGTGGATCCGAAGGTGCTCGACAAGATGATGCTTTCGAAAAAAAGATTTTTCGCACTGGGTGCAATTAAAGGACTGCTTGCCAGTGTGCGCCCTGCGAACGTGATTGTTGAACGTATGTTCTCGAACGAAAAATTTTTTGCATTCGGTGCAGTTGAAGACTCGCTTGTTGAAGTGCGCGTTGACGTGGGCGTAAAGCGTATGCTTCAACGAAAACGTTTTGCCGCAAATGTCGCACTTGTACGGCTTTTCGGCGGAATGTACGCTGTTCACGTGGTTCCTAAGGACCTCCTTTCGGGTGAAAGATTTATGGCAGTGCGCGCATCTGTGGGGCCGGTCGTTGGTGTGTACGCTGCTGACGTGTTGGGCGAGGTAATAGCACGACTTGATGAATATTCCGCAGTACTCGCACAAGGAACGTGGCCTGTCGATGCATTCTTTTGCCGGCATTTTTCCGTGCAAGGACTTTTGTGGCTGGGACTCCTTTACGTTGAATTTTCGATGCACGTCTTTTTGGATAAACGGAGAAATTTGCTGGCTATGGATCTGGGGGCTGGAAATTTTAATACAAACAATCTGGCTGTTAATAGTTTTTTCACAATATTCAACCACAATAGTTTTGATTTGGCAAAGTTTGATTGAAAAATAAAAAAAAAGGTGACGAGCGATTTGTTTATTTTACTAACAAAATACTCACTGTCGTTGCACTTTTTTTTTATGTGTTTATTGTTTTTTTATAATATCATTGTGTACTAATGAATTTAAGTGTCACAACATGAGATATTAGAATAGTGTTGATTTACACTGGTAAATTTTGTTTATTTATAATTTAAAAAGAGACAATCATACTAGATGTTTTATTTCTTTTGAGTTAATATATAAATAGGGGCTAAATCATAGAATTTAAATCGAAAGTTTATTTTCTTAAATTTTTCTTAGTAGGGTTTTAACAATTAATTTTAATTTCTAATATACTTTGATGATTAGTAAATAGCATTAAAACGTAGTAATAATTGATATGAAATAAATAATGTAAAGTAATAATTTTTCATTTGGCTATCTTTTAACAAGAATAAACCAATCAAATTTATTTCGTTAAAGTTGATAATATGTACTTGAATTATGCATAGTATATAATTATATTTTGTAATTCTAGAACGATCTGCATGCTTATTGATTAGAAGAATAAAAAAATATTTATAACTGACCGTGAAAGTAGTCATAATAATTTAGATCGCGCGAAATGCGTCTAACGCAGTTATGTACCTTATACTGTGAGTGGAAAAAAAATTTTTTTCTTACCTCGGGCGTTTTTGAGAGGCTGGTGTGTGCTCTCGGTGGGAAAAATAGGATTCGCCACTTAAGCGCCATCGCACCGTGGCTATATATACCTTACGTCCCTCGGGCCCTTTTTCGCAGGTCCCTCGGGCCGCATAATAACCCCGGAGTCGATGACACTTATCCGACGAAAACTACTGTTTCTTTCTCATTGTGTAAAGTATTTTTTTTTCAATTGAACAAAATTTAGTCAGCTTAAAAAACTATTTATCAAGTCATTAAACAAATTGTAAAAAAAAAAAAAAAAATTATTTCATGAAATAAAATATTTTTTTTAATCATCTTGAACATTGTATTTAAAAAAAAATCTATGCACATATTATATTTAACTGAATAAGGTTACAAAAGTTTTTACTTTGATCCGATCGTTTAGAAAGTATATCTGTTCATTTCACCTCAAAATGATTGATTGTCACATGGCTAATGTCTTTTTAATTGCTGCGTGTATATTATTTGGTTAGAACTTGCCACATGATTTATTTGGCGGGGTTTCGAAAATATCAAATGCATTTAACTGTTACAACATGATATTAAAATAATACAGATTTATACTATTTAATTTTATTTGTTAATAATTTTTAAGAAAACATCATACAAAAAGTTTTATTTGTTTTAAGTTAATACATAATTAAAATGCTTATCATACACAGCTATATAATTTCATAANAATTTGGGTACTTTTATTTTAATACAAGTGATAAACCTACCTGACGTTCTCTTCTTCTTCAAACTCGCAAAGGCATTTTCATAAAAACATAATTATATTAAAATTATTTGGGGAAGATGTACGGTCGTTTACAAGGATGAAAAAAATAAGAAAAAAATTTGAGTAAAATTTTGTACACTAAGTGATTAAACAGGAGCATCAAAATAATGAAAATCGCGCGAAGTGGGTCTCTGCAGACACAACTAGTCCTTCAAAAAGGAAATTAACAAATTTGGTGATCAACCCAGGCAAATCCCATCTCGAATGAATATTGTTACCATCGCATGACTTATCCATCTTTTAAAAAGGATCACGTGACCCACTAATATCTTACATGAGAGCAGTGACAGTGGACAAGTTTGATCGGACCACGATATATGTTAACAGAGAACTGGAGATAACTTATTTTTCAAGTCCAACTACATAGGTGATATTTTACATTTAACCATATTTTCGAGATTATTTAAATGAACTCACCTGCCAATTTTTAGTAAACCAATTCGGATATTATATTGTGTGCTTCTCCATATCTCCCCCTGTGGCTGTTTGATTACCAATCACTCAACGTCCATTTAATTCTCTCAACCTGAAATTTTATTAAATTTTTTATGTCTATCGACCAAACTAATTTTTAACACTAAAAATAATCAAGTTAATTCAATTCACAAAAATACAATGAAAAGTAGGTAATATATAATTTTAGGTCTCTTTTTGGGCCGGACTTGAATGTCCTCGTTATATACCCATGTAAACTTGATGGACTACATGCAAACGGACTACGAATGAAAATATTTATATTAACACGTCAAAAATAACAAAGATTTGTAATACTTAACTTTGTCTGCCAATCATAATATAAATGGTTTGCACATTTGTATAGAAAATTTAGACATAATATACATATGTATATAACCATAACCAACTAAATAGATATAATACATTGTGCTTCGCCCTTATTATTTTTTTTGCTACCAGTCGTACCACACGAAAATTCTTACGGTTGAAACATGTAAGTACAGATAATTGTAAGGACAATCAGGAAATAATTGAACCTACCTTACCAACTAGGTCGTTGTGACTTTCGAAAAATATTTATCAACTATAATATTATTTTATACAATATTTCGAAGAATAAATTGGACTCGAATTTAATGGTTTTGATGAAGAATTCAAAGGGAATAATGTGATTTTGCACATCACCCATGGGACATCGTAGTTTTTTTTTTCTCTGTGAATTCGCAGTCAACCTTACCAAAATTGGGATTTATTTATTCGTAGGAATATAGTTATATTGAATAAATGTGTGTTATTATGAAGTCAAAATGTTAAAGCGTCCTAATCTGTAAAGTGTGGTGTAACTCCTTTACTCCTTAAGAAAACGTATCGATAATTTTTTAATTAATTTATATACTCACGTAATTGAAAACTTTCAATAAGAAATCCTAGGGAGTGGCTGTAAAATAGGTCAATTAGTTGTTTGAAATTTTTTAATAATTATGTAACAACAATGAGGTGTACATTGAAAATCCCCCATAGTTCTTAACTCTATTAATTTTAGACAGAATAGGATGTATTTATTGTTTTTATTGATGTTTATTCTAAGATTATTTACGAAGACTTGCAATTTGAAATACATCGAGAAAATAATTTTAGTTTTCAAAAAAAAAGTTCCATCTGAAAATCGAATAAACGTTATTGATAAGGAATTTTCGTGGAAAAATTAATAGAGATAAAAAAAAAACTAAATTATCATACTAGAAGAGGATAGTTACAAGGATATGGGTTCAAGAGTATAAGGTTTTAAACAATGACTGATATAAGCTAGGTTGTCGATTTTATTTTTCCATTTTTTTACAATTAAATTTAAATATAAATTTTTCATCCACAAAACACTTAAAATATTCAAAGATGGTATACAATATATTTCGTTCTCAAGAAATTATCGAAAAATTTGGTTTAATAAAAAAAAGTTGTTTCTCTTCAAGAACTCGCTCGGTTTTAAGCTTAGTTTTGGCAAAAATGGAGCAGCGAATTCATAATAAATCGCTACGTACATGCACAAACACTTAGACGATTTTTTTTTAGTAGAAAAAAAAAAATTCGTTTCACTATTACATTTTAATAGTCAAACTCTGATTATATTTTCATCGCGTTAGTGTACAGAGCTTTAAAAGAAAAAGAAAACAGACCCAACAAGAGCTCCTCGAGAGCTTCCTTCTTTGTGTCAGTGAAATGATAAAAATGATAAAAACATGAAAACCAAATGTTTTGAATAACACTTGGCAGCAACAAAAGGTATTATCATTTTGGTTACGGTTTCTTAGGTAAGATGTTTGTAACAATTTATCTTATTGATATAATTGTGAAAACTAGAAAACAGCTGTTACCAACTTCGACAGTTACGTATAATCCTTAGTATTAATAGAGCTTTCATCGTTAAATCGCGCAGATAATTTAGACAAAAAGGCAAACTTTCACGATAATTTTACGGCAGTTTAAGAAAATTGTTTCTTAAAAATAGCGTTCAATGCGACTCGATCAGCACTAACGGAGTCACTATGGTGTTTTTTGTTCTCGTACTTTTTGCGTAGCACCACACTTTTATCATAACGATTTAGTCGAAATAAAGTGCACTTGAAAAACCGCACAATTTTTTAACCATCAAACTTATACATTCACCTGGTAATTTCTAAAAAAAATTAAAAATATGAAAAACATAGATTTAAAAAAAGGTTTCTCACTGATTTGACGCATCCAGTTCTATCCTTTTAACAATCATCAGGTATAGAAAAGTAAACAGCATTAAAATTTGCATTCCTTAAAATAAATTCATTGTAATAGTCAACATCCAACGATTTTGCACTTGACTAAAAATAAAAAATAAAAACACGCAAGTAAATAAATCCTCGATAGTTGATATCAACTATGTAAGAAGAGAAAGTTCCTTATAAACACGAGTTTCAATGTCCACACGACAAATTGGACAGCAACTGTTGGTGCATAACCATTGATCAACACATTCTATATGGAATAAATGCATACAAGGAAGCCTCCTGTAATGAAAATTATTTATTTCATTTTACATTCAGACGCTAAGTTGATTCGTGTACTCATAAAACTTTAGAGCAAATTAAATACAATAATTTGGGTACTTTTATTTTAATACAAGTGATAAACCTACCTGACGTTCTCTTCTTCTTCAAACTCGCAAAGGCATATCGTACATTTTTCAATGGCATCTTCTCTGTTTTCAACTTCTCTCACCTGAAATTTAAATAAAAAAATAATGGGATCAAATTGTATGAATAAATTTTTTTACAATTAACTCAATAGTTTACCTTCTTGTATTTGTGTGGGAATGTATGACTTTCTATTGTTTCCTGTGAAGCACCACTTCGCAATGCACTGACCAAACGTCTGAAGTCAGAAATGCGAACAAGGGCTTCACCCCACAGAGGATGCATTTGGCTTGGAGGAACTGGATGTGTCATTGTGTGGAAGGTGTAATAAGGCGGGTACTGATGCGCCGGTGGAGGCTAAAATTATAATTTTATAGATTTATGAATTTTAGCCTTATTAAAAATTGTTATCGCTATCAACCCAAAAAAAACTTTGTAAACTCACCACGATAGGCATCACCACGAAATTGGGAGAGTTTCCATAGGGTCCACTTTCAGGATGACTAAAGACTGTGGGTTGTTGCGGTGCAGGTAATACTGCACCGAGTTGATGTATTCCATGATGAACATAAGGCGGATCTCTTCGTCCGTACGAAGGGTGGGAGTGACTCCAGCAAGTCATCACATTTGAATTAACATAAGACTGTTGAACCAAGTTTGGATCTTGTGGCATGAACCTACAATGATTGATCAGCTGGTTAACAAATAACTTAATTTCACAATATTTATGATGGTCAATTCAGGATAAACAAACAAATAGAACACACCTTTGGGGCATTGGCATTCTCCTGGGATTTCGAGAATCCAGATGCATGTGAAGCCTATGCTGCTCCTGTATCCTGTTCTGTGCCATCCACAACCTTTCCATTCTTGGATGCATTCTATTGACTCTTGGGTCTACAAAATTAATTATGTACAATACTATTGTTTTTTTCTACTTGCTTATTTTTCGAGGGATGATCAGATATTAAATTCTTACTCATATCAGCACTGTGAGGAAGAACAGGCATTTGATGGTGCATATGGGTATGCCGAATTGATTCCATCCTAGGTGGAACATGGACGCAGTGTGCTCTTTTGAACCTTGGAATGTTAGAAAATATTAGCACTAGTTTTAAATGTCGTGATTTTAATCGTACACAAGAAATAAATACCTAGGTGGACTGGTAGTGGGTTGGGGAAACGTAGCACTACTAGTGTTATTTGTTGCATGCTCATCGTCCGATTCCGTTGTTAAATCTACAACAGCCACAGGTTGACTTTGCTCTGGATTTTGCGAATTTTGACTTGATAGATTTGGCTGAAACAGTAATTGTTTTTTCACACCGATATCTACAGGTACAAAAATAAATATATCTGTTTCATAATCACCTTGTCAGTGCGATTGACTGTACCAACTACTTCAACGGCACCGTCTTTCTCTTCATCATCACTACTATAATCACTAGAAAAACAGTCGAGCTGAAGATCTGGAGATGTGGGATTATTATTATTGGCTCCTACGGAGAAAGTAGCATTAATTTACGTACTTGTCACAAATTTAAGCAACTTGGCAATCTTACTTGACATTGGATTAGGTTGCACATCTTGAGGATTCATCACAGACGTTTGAGTAGACGAGTTAGAGTGCGACCTCGTCTTAATTACATTACTATCTACAGGAGTATTGTTGCTGATTTCTGGATGGGCTGGCTCTTCCGAAAGTGGCTTCGCTTCGCTTATGCTAAGTTATTAGGTGAAAATAATTTTTAATTAATAGATTCAAAATGAAATATGCATCACCGATGGTGAGTACCATGAAAAAACGTATAAACCTGTAATCAACTGGACGTTCCACATTAGGTGCTAATCTGGAGGGTCCAGCTCTACAACCATCAGCATGATCGGACCTCACCCAACCGCGAGAAGCAGCAAAGGCAGCCGGGAGAGCATTATGCTCCAATTGATTGAGTACTCTCGGGCGCTTTGGTTTCATACAGCCACTGGTGCACTTGGTGGCGGTGTTATCACGTGAGCGTTTGTGCTTGTGAAAATTACCCGCCGCGTTTCCAGCTTGTCTGTTTTCTCTCCTTGCACGAGCAACCGCTTCCGTCGCTATAATAAGATCTTCCTCTCTTGTACGACACATGTTGCAATTTAACGAGTTTGGCAGGCTGTACTCCGAAGAATTTACAATTGGCGTAGGAACATATGGACTGAACAGGTAGTGACTGTGAGCTTGGATGCCGTGCTGAGGTGGACACGGATACGGCACTGGTGCTATGTCTGGCTCTTCTATATCACTCTCGGCAAACAAGTGCTCGTAATCTAACTCGTTTCCTGTAAGCCAAAATCCATTATACTCGTGATGTAAATGAATAAATCTATTGAAAATTAATGTTTTGATGGATATGTAAGATATATTTCGTATTACGGTACGTGTGATGAACGAATAAAACTGTTTAAGTGTAAATTTTTTTTCTTCGAAAAAACAAGGATAAAATTACCTGAAGGATATCTGGGATGCGAAGCTGGATCAGCTGTTGACGTGAAGGCAGTATCAAAGATATCTGCCAGTGATGTAACATTGACTCCATCCAAGGAACTGGCAGCAGCTTCGTTGGTGAAAATGTCAGTGGGAGGCTCAGTCTTTTCTTTTGGCCATACATTCTTTGACTTTTCACCCTCATCCATTCTTATTCCAAACAACAAAGACGGAATGCAAAATTTCAAATCAACAGACAATAGACATTCAATCATTAGAATCAGATGGGTCTCAAAAAATTTTAAACTCACATGCACATGTTTAATAATTATCGCTCTATAACAATGATACTTATCATTAAAAAAAGTCTAAAGTGCAAAAGTTTATAAGAAATGCTAAGAACTGAGAGTTTAAATCATGAAAACAAGTAAAACAATTAACAAAAATTTTTTATTTCACAATACTTGGAAATTAATTTTGAAACACAACGAAAGAAGTTTCTTTACTACCTCTGACGTATCTTTTATTTACAACACAATTATTCTCAAAGAACGAAAAACATTTGTTGACATGATATCTTAATGAGAAACCATGTTCTGATTTCTGATGAAACGCCCCCACTCAATCGATCTGCTCAAACGTTATCTCCAAAGAGAAGAAATCATGCAGTACTTTTTCTTTGTTAGTTTTCTTTCTTACTTTCTTTTTAATGTAAACAGTTTGCTCATACACCTACATTTTCACATGAAATCAAATAAATAACAATTACTGTATCACTTACAACCATAAGCCTTAAAGTATCTGTAGCACCTAATACTTTTTAAGGCTTCTGTTTTCTATTAGCAACAGTGCACATCAAAAATATCACGACATGGAACATGATACAAGAGCGCTTTTTAATCAGATAAGAATAATAAAAATGACGAAGCAACATGGAGCTGTTGAAACAAACAATATTTCATGCAGAGCCAATAGTATAGCATCATAAGAGAGAACACATTTCACGATAGATGCCTTGCCTTCCCGAAATAAATAACTGAATCATGGCATGTGAGCAAGCAATGAAAAAAAAAAAAAAAAAAAAAAAAAAAAAAACCCGTTTTTTCTTTCTCTTGTATTATCCTTTGTATACATTCATAAGAATAACCATCTCATTTCAAGTGGTTCAAAAGAGAACAACAAAAATATAAATATTAGTAGCAGAGTACATTAGGTAATACATGTTAAACATGCAACTCCAAAAAACTAGCTGTATGCAGTATGTATATATGGGTATGCAGCAAAAGCAGAAAATAAACAAGAACTCCGGTAGAGAGCGGATTACGTCTGCGGTCAATGATTCGCAATCGAACGAAATTTCCAATGCTTAAGCAAATAAAAATAAAGGTAAATAATACAAATTAAATTCAATTGGGAGAACACGTAGTATAGGTATGACCTCTTTTACCTTCTCGTCCGGATGTATATTGTACTTCAGGCAATAGTCCTCTTTGAACTTATTATTGTAAGGCACCTTCCTTCACCATTAGCAGCAACAGCGCAGCGTCATGGCTCTCGTTTTTCTTTATTTTCTCTTCGCCGTGATCCCCCTTCGTTCTCCGTCTTTTGTACAGATATGTTACGTATATCGGTATATAGGTACATACGTGCACGCAAAACGGCGTTTCAAGTGTATTTTTAAAATTTTTTAATAATCCACGCGTGTATCGTTATTAAAAATAAAGATAATCCTAGATTTCCTAGGCACTAGGCACTTCCTTCTGTTCTTCTTCTCCAAGACACGCGCACATGATCATTAATCTTTGTTTTTGTATGTTCTCCAGTGCTCTTTATCCGCTACAAAGGGGCCTAAAACAATAACTCCTGATAGTATATGTTGTATTTATACTGAAAAAATGTAGGTATGTTTGATAAAAACGCAGCTACGTGCATTAGCACAGAGAATAAAATATACATACATTAGGTGGAGTGTTGTTGTACGTTATATATATTATATGTTGACTGCCTCAATACCCTGGAGGTCGGAGAAATTCTAATTTGACTGGCTTTCTCGAAGATGCTGATAGCTTGTGAGCAAGAGACGTAGCAGCCATGCTTTGTAAAGGTGATGGGATTGATGACGCGCGGTCAAGCCAGTTTGGCTCGGGTTCCTCTCTCTCGAGGGAGACTTTCGCCGTCGAAGCCAAAGGCTGACTCCGAAACGAGCTCCAAAATTTTATCTCTCCTCCTCCTCCTACGCACACCACACCACCCCCACGACTGATACCACCCTGCCTTCGTGTGTGAGACAAAACAAAAGAAACGAAAACTGGTGCTCCACTGCTCCCCTCCCTCTCTACATGGATCGTTCTACGAAAACTTGATTATTTTATGTACCACAGCAACTAGTATTAAATTGCTTTTTGGTACCTACTTATAGGTACTTCGATTAGCAAATATCGTGCACAAATGACAAACTTAACAAATTTCTCCATCAAAAATCACCATGTAGTCCTTGCACACTAATATAAAACGCATATTTTTATGCATATATGAGTTAACATGATGGCCACAAAGTTGGACCAAAAACTTTCCAACTCAATAGTTAAAAAAAAAAAATAATAATAATGATAATAATAAAATACTACTTATAAATTCTACGTGTATACTGAAAGGACTGAAAGTTTCCGGAATCCTGTATTGCACCAATAACAATACAATATTTTTTTCGTAAAATGATCCATATACATATTCGCGACATTCCAATGAAAACGCGTCTTAAGGTATGAAGGTACGTTTACATTAAAGGATCTTTCAAGTTTACTTTTTGGCGGGAGATTCAATTTAAACTAATGAATGGCGTTATTGAATTTGTGTTTCGTTAAATGACTACGATAGTAGATCGATATAACAAACAATTACAAATATAGGGTTCCTCGGGTTTAGGATTATCTTAAGATTTTTCAACGTCGCACACCTTTTCTTCGGAAACGTTCCTAATGGCAGAGGCTCATATCAAGGCTTGATATTCGCGAAGAGATGTGTCACGTCATTTGAAATATGTAATTTATGAGATTAACTTGATTATTGAAACGAATTTAATAAGTTTGCAAATTTGTACGTGCCTCGGTTTAAATTTAATATTGAATTGATGACCGGTCAAAAGAAAAAGTGTCAGCACAAACTTGTTTTCACCAACGGTAAAAATAATAATTCTGGATGCCGGTGTGTGGCCCCCGACCCCCGAACCCCAAAAACCCCACCCACCGCGACGGCACCGACGACACCGATATTTTTTTTGCTCTTTACTCTTTACTTTACCCCCCCGCACACACACTTGCTTTGTCTGCAGCGTGTTAGTTTAAGTTAGATATTAATACGATATAGAATCAAGTGTGATACTGTGATGGTGCCCAAATTGCTCGTCGTCGCGCAGCAGCAGTAGCCACAAGCTTCTGTTTCAACACCGACTTCGCGCGCGAGAGTATACCATCGTCATCGTGCTCCTGCTGCTGCTGTTTATATACTAGCCCTCGCTCGCTGCAGCTGCTCTCAACACCCTTCCTCACACACCAAAACAAGGGCACAATGGCTGTGGCTGCCAGGGCACTGTCCAAGCTGACGTCAGGTGAGTCGTGTATCCGCACCCTTTTTTTTCTTTTATTTCTTCATCTTTCCCTCTAATGTCGTTGATGCCAATTCATTTGCTTTGCATGTTAATTGGTTGACACCTTTGCTGCGGATTACACATGTATTTCAAAGTGTGTGTATGTGTACGCTACTGCTCGTTAACCTTGCACCCCAGTCATGTAGGTCAAAAGGCCTCTATTATCACCGTTCTTTTCGACAAATTTAAGTGAAATTATTATGTAAGAAATGTCAAAAGTACTTCAACTGCCCTGTCTCGTTGACAGTGGGATGCATTGCAGTTTTAGGTACGACATCAAAATTGTAAGGATCAAAAGGATCTAGGAGACATTGGTGCAACTTTACTTGGTTTGAGTACTTTCATTTAAGCACAGCTGATTAATTTTGCTGAAAATTACAGTGACATTAATTAAGTAATGCCTATCATGTGGCAACACGTACTTGACTCATATTGTCACCCTTGTTTACAAGAGACCTCTCTCTCTCTCTCTCCGATTCTATCTTTGGTCTCTATTTGCCATGGTAAATTAATGGCCTTAACCTGGTTTGACATTTTACACGTTGATTACGAATCATAGCCAAAATCTATCAGGTTTTTTTTTAACGTTGTCGAATCGTTTCTGCAACAACACTGTTTCTTTCTATCTTTTTTGCATCGAGAGCTCACTGTCAATCCTGATCTTTAGCTTTTTCTATTTATAGAACCTTTTTTTTGCTATTCATGTGGTGGTGGGGGACCCATTGGACAAAGGTGTGTATTTTTTGTGCTAATGAAGGTCATTGTTTTCTGTTGCAGTTGGGAGTCGCGGTGGATTGATGCGTTCTCAGATTAGATTTAATTACACAGAGTCGAGAAAAAATCTGAAAATCAACTGCGAAACTAAAGTTATCTGCCAAGGCTTCACAGGAAAGCAGGGAACTTTTCACTGCCAACAGGCCATTGACTATGGCACGAAAATCGTTGGAGGCGTTAATCCAAAGAAAGCTGGAACTGAACATCTTGGAAAGCCGGTTTTTAAGAATGTTCAGGAGGTAATGAATATCTGTTTCTGGGTATTGATACGAGAGTTATCTTATCGTGGATCATCAGTTGCTATTTAGACAGATATATAAAAGTAACGATTTTACACTCGAAATATAATACCCACTACAAATCGTTATTACTTTTGATATAAAATTATCAATGTCAAAGTCATCCAAAAAAAGTTAAGTGTGATACAATTTATTAGAACACATGGAATCATTCTCCTGAATCTCTCACATTTTTATTGTACTCGGTATTTGTAAAACTTGTATGAAAGCTAATCTGTTTGACCTCCTTGAACTCGGAGGGTAAGATAAGAAATTACGAGTAAGTCTTGAACTCATTCTGAGTTCTGCATTATTCATTAATAAATTGGATCGTGAAAAAAATGATGTGAAAAAATTATTTTAAGGCAAAAGCAGCAACGGGAGCTTCCGCAACGGTGATTTACGTGCCACCGCCATCAGCTGCTGCAGCGATAATGGAAGCCATGGATGCTGAAATGCCATTGATTGTTTGCATCACGGAAGGAGTTCCTCAACACGACATGGTGAAAGTAAAGCGACGATTACTCGAACAAAATAAATCACGACTCATTGGTCCCAATTGTCCTGGTATCATAGCGCCTGAACAGGTGAATTGAATGTATAATTATTACCATCTCATAATGAAAATGAATACTATTTTAACTCGTTTGTAATTTGAAAATAACTATCATGTATAATGATTTCAGTGTAAAATTGGCATTATGCCTGGTCATATTCATCAGAGGGGAAAAATCGGTATTGTTTCAAGGTCTGGAACTTTGACCTATGAGGCTGTGAATCAGACTACTCTTGTAAGCGCGCAAAATATTTTTTTTCAATTGATTGTAAATCGTTTGAATCTTTTTGTCAATGTGAAAACTATTTTTAGACCGGATTGGGCCAGACGCTGTGCGTCGGTATCGGAGGTGATCCATTCAATGGTACAGATTTTATTGACTGTTTGGAAATCTTCCTTCAAGATCCCGCGTGCGAAGGTATTATTATGATTGGTGAAATTGGCGGCAGCGCTGAGGAGAAAGCAGCAGAATATCTTACTAAACACAACACTGTAAGTTTCTATTATTATTTAACGCTTGGGACAAGTATAACATTTTAATTAACTTTCATCGTTCCAGGGAGCAAATCCAAAACCCGTTGTATCGTTTATTGCCGGTATCACAGCTCCACCCGGTAGAAGAATGGGTCATGCAGGTGCCATAATTTCGGGAGGAAAGGGCGGGGCTCAGGATAAGATTGATGCTCTTGAAAAGGTACGTATCGAAATCAGTTGAAAAATCGATAATTCCTGTGGAGCCAAATGCACTAAAAAAATTTTTGCTCGTCTCTTAGGCTGGCGTTATTGTAACTCGGAGTCCTGCGCAAATGGGCAATACACTATTAAAAGAAATGACTCGCCGAGGCCTCGTTTGAAATGATTCTTTACGACCAGCTTTACGCTGTTAAAAAAAAAAGTCCATTGTAGTTTGTCTCAGTGTCCATGTATACTCATTAAATAAAACCTAACATGTTTCCTAAAAAATGTTCATTAAACAAAATCTAATATATGGCGTGAAACGGATAAAAAAATGTTGACAAGTAATAATACTCTGCGTGTTAATAATTTAAAACGTAAGAAATAATTGTTGTTATTTTTGTCTACGCAGTTGACTGGCTTCCACTGTTGAAAAAATATTGCAAAATACTATTTCATTTTTCACACTACTGTACAGCATAATAAGTAATTAACGAAGATTTAAGAAAATCGAATCTTATTGTTCATTCATAGAAATTCATCTATCATGTAAGTTTTATAGCTTATGGCACTGTGAGCTTTCAAAAGAGACTAAACTACAATGTCTGCTCCGACATAACTAATGTTGAACATAATATTGCAGGAAAAAGTGTCTGCATGTGATGTATGTAATTTTACTGTAAATCATGTTAATAAAAATATATTGATTTAAAAAATATATGTAATTACATGCGGCTATACATTTCTCATGATCCGTTCTGGATTTATATACACATTTTTTCAACTTTTAGTGGGTGCTGTGGTGGTCTTGGGTCCCTTAGGGTCTAAGCTTAGTTTAACTGCAAAACAAGTTTGAGGAAATGAGCTCACCATTGACCTCAAGTGTGTTGTCTATGAATCTATCTGGTGCATTTTTGCATATGAAGATGTACTTGTGGGAACATTATCAAAAAAACGTACTTAGCATCTTAAAACGTCATCTGATTAAATTACTTTACAAAAAACTGAGCTTTATATCATGCAAATCCCATTATTTCATTGATAGTATTTGCGATGGTCTTGCTCTTGTCACCAGTGAATGGTTTTAGCTCGGACAAATTCATAGAGCGAATCAGTTGGGTCAAGCCCTTACAGTTTGTGTAAAGTAAGTGACCATCTTTGTAAAGTTGCTCAGCAAGCTCTAACTGATGATTATCCATTAAACGGTCGTTTGTCACTACAATTAGAGGTTTTGATAACTCTAAAGCTTCCAAGCAACTTCCAGCACCTGCATGGCTAATAATGAGATCTGCGGTTTGCATATCTTCCTGAAGAGATGGTTTCAGATTAAACACCTCAATACGATGAAAACCACACCTCTTGGTGCAATCTGGTTCAACGTGGCTTCTGCCAATTTGCATGATCATTTCACTGTATCCTTTTTTACTCAGTTCCTGTAAAATGTAAGAACTCTTAAATTATTTTTAAAGACCGTTGTCTGTTTTCCGTGATTTACCTGTAGTACTTCGTCTGTAGTTATAGTTTTGATGAGATCATCAAACTTGGTTGTTCCAACAGTAACAAAAATCTTTTTACGTGGCATATTATAATTCTGAAAACAATACATTGGATAAGGTAAAATGTGATTTTTCTTGCAGTTTTGTAAAATACAAACCATGAGATGAAAATGAGATTCGTTCACCAATGAAAATAAAATTGAAAGCTAAAAACTTTTTTTTTTAACAGAGTAATTCAAGTACCTCTTAAGGCCTATTCACAAAACAAAAAATACGAATTTCCTTTTTCGATTAGACTATGGTGTGCATCTCTCATTTCTGAATGAATGCATTGTTTAATCGTCAACAAAAGTCGGAAAAAAAAAGACAACAATAAAAAAGTAGGATAACTTTAACTCTTGGAGGAGGAACAGCCACGCACATTCAATCGCCGTCGCCTGCGCCGCAGGCCGCGCAGCCTCTAGCGCCAAGCCAAGCCACCACGTACGCCAATGACCAGTCGACAGACAAGAGCCGGTCTCTCAACACAAGCTTCCATGTAAGTTACTTTTATAGTGATAACTGCTACCGTGTCAGGTTGTTATTTTTTTTATTTTTATTTATTTTCTTCCATCAAGGTATCCCTCAGCACAATAATCTTCCGTTTGCTTGATATATCAACTCGTGCATTAAAAACATTTGTTACCATTGCAGTCATCGCGTATAGAAGGAGAAATCGTGTGCATTGGCTGTAAACATCACCAGCAAGACGATGGCGGCGACGACGTCGACGGTGAGCCTGCCTTCGGTGCGCTACACGCGCAACCTCCTCCTCAGGAGCATGTGCATCATCTACATGTTTGCCTTCCTCAGCTTCTACGTGCAAATTCCGGGTAAGTGTATCTGATGAATTGCGCATACGTGGATGGCACTGTTGTGTATAGGTACACCTGTTTGGTTATACGCTCTCTCGCGGTGTTTTGCGTATTTTTTTGGCGTATGTTGAGAACCCGGGGATAGCTGACTCGTGATGCGCTCGATCGCTACTCCACGACATGTGCATCGTTCCCTTTTGCCGTTATTGTTTCTGTTAGAAAAGCGATGTCTGCGCAATTTGTTGTTCAGTATCTCCTCGTTTTTCATAATAGGGTTAGATTACGACGTAGTGCATTTCATATATACATACATATACTTGGCAGCGTACGTGTGTACCTATATCGGGCGTTACGTTACGTGGTGATTGGTAAACGTATAAGCTCGAAATGATCTTAAAGTCCTGTAAGGTAAAAATGTTCAGGGAAACAAATGGCTAATGTTTGTGTATTTCCATTGTTGATGTATTGTTTGTTGGTGGACACGTACAATTGTTTGTCCGAGCAAAAGCAGTTTACTGCATATGGTTTGCTCTGATAAAAAGTAATTCGCAAGGTGTAGGTGTAGTGGTAGGACCTGATTTCATTACATGCCTGTATAATATTTTAAATCTGAATTGAATTTTTTTTCACGATTTTAACGAAATTATATGTCTTACTTAATAAACGGAAATGAGCATACATACTGTGTTTTAAGCTGGACAATTCCATGCTGAAACCAGGAAAGTTAAAAAGGACATGATTATTGTTAAATTCCGTATTTGAAATGTTATCTTTGATAATATTATTTTTACAAGTGCATTACAAGCATTACAATGTATGGCATAGATACTTTCAATGAACCTAATTTACGTTGTGTCTAGCAGTGGGTTAACGTTCACTTTGATGATTTCTTTGAAAAAACTGTTATCTAAAGCGATTTAAAATACATTAGCTACTCATTAGCCGTATTTCTCTTTTAAATTCTAGAACAAAGATATACTAAAAGAATAATCTTTAACATGAATCAGAGTCGTGGAATGTATCGTAAAAAGCGTGACAAGGATTTTTGACTTCTTGTCTGCACAGTTTTCCCATGTACATGTTTATATGATACGTTTATCTTATTTAGCTATTGTTGTAGTACAAGAAAAACAAATCTCAAGCCCAAGCCAAGCCAAACGAAGCTAAGTACAACGTAAAAATTCTTACTGGTAAAAAAAAACCAAATCATGATCTAAGTACATCTAGTCTTGATCATTTTTCTCTCTGTGTTGCCGGTCACATAACTGCGGCGCGGATAGAAATAAAAAAAAAGCGGTAAATCGACTCCTCAAATAAGACACGAATAAATCTGTGTTGCCCAAATACCTATACTCTTTTTTCCAATTCCAATGGGTCTTTCTTTTTACTATATGTACCTTTTTTTTCGTTTCATGGATGAAGAGTTTTATTTACAATTATATATAGCAAGCACGTGGTAATTGGCGCGTAGCCGAGCCGGATCATGGCTTTTTTGTCACGAAAATAAAATATGAAAAGTGACAATAAAAACCGCGAAAGTAGTATTGTTCGCGTTTATGAGTACACACATGGAATATATGGCGATATAAGAAGAAAGGGTGTATAATGCATTGTNGCTAAGTGGTTTTTGGGGTCCAAACATCCTCAGTCTGACCCTCTCGATCTCAGCGCCGAGATTCCTTTGTCGACTATCCGTGTAATCTTGTAGCGATGTCAGCAACTCGAAGTACTTCTCAGTGAGCTCGTTGCTGTCTTCGATGTATTCGGGTAGATTGGTGTCCACGTTCAACTTGACGAGAAAAAGGAAACGGGTGTCTTTTTTTTTTCTTTTTTTTTTTTTTTTTTTTTTTTGCTAAGTATGTCTGAAGTAAGTATATATGTAACTGCGAGGATCATTGCACTCTCTGTGAGTCGCTTATATTTTGTAATGATATATGTATGCCGATCAAATTGGATTTTGAGCTGAAAATGTCTCATTTATGCTTTAAAATTTTAAAACGGTATTTCAAATCTAAAAAAACGAGTATTTCATTAAACGTGGCTCAACCGCCTTTTTTACAGGCCTTTACGGAGACAACGGCGTTTTACCGGCAAAGGCGCAATTGGACCTCAATTCTCCAGCACCTCTGCTTCTAAAATTTAAGCAAAAACCAACTCTGCTATGGTTTGCTCCCTACCTCGGCTTGAACGTCGAATACATGATGGACGTGTTTGCCCTGACTGGAGCACTGTTAGCATTTTTGGGGTAAGACTGAATTACTTGCGATAATTTTTTTTTTTTTAATGGCAACTGAATTTCTCACTTATTTTTTGTCGTTATTCCACAGGTTTGTCAAACAAAAGTTTTGCAAATTGCCCATGTTTGTTTTACTGTACTCGTTATACCTTTCGCTCTACCAAGTAGGACAAGTTTTCATGTGGTTCCAGTGGTAAGTTTTATTCAAACAGATGTAAAATACAAATTAGAAAAAAACTCAACTTTTTCCCCGAAATGATTTTATTTTTATTTATTTCTAATTCTTTGAACACCTAATCGTTTTCTTTAACTATTCTAAAAGCACGTTGCGTAAGTTGAACTGAAACTTGATAAGACGAGGTATCGATATCCACAACCATTATGAAGTATCGAATTCGATAATGAGGAAATACGTTTGATAAAAGTTTACGTCATATATGTTACATAAATATTGAACCGACATCAATTCCAAGTATATTGGTAAAAGCATGGGAACCAAAAAAATTAGTATGCGTATTTATTTTTCAGGGATGAATTATTGTTAGAAGCTGGTATTTTATGCATCGTTCTTACGATGTCGTGGTCGAAAAAAGTCACACCAACCGATCCAGTGTCACTTTGGCTGGTACGATGGCTCCTTTTCCGTGTAATGTTTTCCACTGGAGCGGTAAAGCTTATTTCAAAATGTCCAGTCTGGTGGAATCTAGATGGTAAAGTTAATTGACCGAACGATTGTTACTAAAAACTAGAATTTTTATTTTACTACAAAAATTTAATTTTCAGCTATGGGTGTGTATTTTGAGTCACAAGTTATTCCAACACCCTTGGCTTGGTATGCTCATCATTTGCCAGCATGGTATCTCCGTCTGAACACTGTATTTACCAACGTTGTTGAACTTGTCATACCTTTCTTATTCTTTTTCCCAATAAGAAGGATTCGATTTATAGCTTTCTACCTTCATGTAAGTTTGAACATTATAATGACCAAACCTTTAATTTTTGTATTTAAATAACCAAAATTCAATGAAATATGTTTACAGGTCTTCCTTCAAGCCATAACCATTATCACTGGAAACTACAACTTTTACAATTTATTGGCTATCTGTTTAAGCATATCATTATTAGATGATCAATTCTTCTATCATAGGAAATCCAAGACGGAAAGTTCTCAAATTTGGAAATATCTGACAAATTTAATTTGTTTAGCCGTTTATGGTGGTATTCTGTTTGGTACTTACAAACTATTTAACCTCGAGTTGAAAGATGACTGGACAATTTCATCTAAAATAGGTAACTATTTTCTTTACACAAAAATTATATACAGATGAACTTCTATCTTTATTAATTCTATTTTTTATCTCAACAGGATTTACTCAAAAAGAATTTGACAAAGCTATTTCCATAGTAGTTCCCGCCTCTGTTTGCGTTGCAATCGCTTCTCTTGGTATTGCAATATCGTACTCTGTAGTGAACTCATTATTTAGTGTAAAGGATACTTCCAAGAAAGTTAAACTGTTTGTAAAAACTGTCATAATCAATGCCGTTGTCATTTACATTTTTGCTCTGAGCATTGTAAGTTTAATGATAATTCAGTTTTTTATACATGTCTTTTGATAAAAAAAATTTACCTAAGTACTTGCAATCTGTTTTTTAGGTTCCATACACGACTTCTTTATACCCAAAACTCAACTCTACTCTTCCAATTCAACTAAAAACGCAGTACAAAAAAATGGAGCCGTTCCATGTCGTCAACAGTTATGGATTGTTCCGTAAAATGACGGGAGTTAATGGTAGACCAGAAATAATCATTGAAGGTAGCAATAGCATCGAGGGACCATGGAAAGAGTATCAATTCTTGTACAAACCTGGAAATGGAAATAATTCACTTCCTTTTGTTGGTAGGTCTCATTTATCATACTTGTTGATTTCAAATCGCAGTCAATATTATTAAATTTTCCATCATTTTTTTTTTTTTTTTTTCAGCGCCACATCAACCGCGTCTCGATTGGCAAATGTGGTTTGCAGCCCTTGGTAATTATCATCAAAATCCTTGGCTAATGTCTCTAGCCTATAGGATTTTGAACGCCCAGCCCGAAGTTATGGCTTTACTCAACGAGGTTGAAAATCCATTTAAACACAGTCCACCGAAATATGTTAGAGCTAGTCTGTTCAACTACCACTACACTCCAGAGAAAAACAAGTAAGTCTTGAATAGAGTGAACTAATTTACAAATTCGTATGTATAATGGTTACACACCTAAGGAGCAAAACTTTCTTTACTTCTGTGGTGGTATACTTATTTGTTTTGTCTACATCGACCTTGAACATCACTCATACTTTTTTGCGTATAAAAGTATTACTCCAAAGTCGATGTAGACAGAAACAAATTTGTTCTTTTCTTCACAATGTGACTTATTAAAAAATATTTTAACAAACGTTATAGAGCCCTGACTTCTTTGATATCGTGGCTACTGTGCCTTAGGTATACAATTTAAATTCAAAATAGTTCTTGTAATTAATTGCAAAATTATGCTAAGTAAGTTGCGTAGCATTGACACATAAAGTAACATATGAGTATTCTATGTACAGTTTACACACGAGTAATAATTGTATCCAGTATCTTAGAACATAACGTAGTTTATTGAACTTCAGCCCTATCATTCAAAATGTAGTACATTTAGTATTTTTCTGAGAAATATCTTGTCGAAAATTGTATTTCTTACAACTATTTTGTCTTAACAGGCAAAGCGAGCAAGCTTGGTGGACGAGAGAACGAGCAAGCGAGTACTTCCCGATATTCAGCAAGGACCATCCACCGCTAATCGAGTATTTGCAGAAAATGAAGATTATTCAAGACAAGCCTGCACCCAAAGTAACAAATACCGTCTTGAAAAATGCCCTTGACACTTTAAGGTCCGTCGTACGCAAGTTCGAGGCGACTCTACTGCTATGGGGCATGTTTACTGCTGGCTGTGCCATCATCATGACCGTCTAACTGTCGAGACGTGTGAAAAGTGATCTGGCTCACATCGACCTGTCAGATTTTTTTTTTTAGAAAACTATTTGATTTGGTGTGATGGATCGAGCTAGAGAGAAAAGTCATGGATGTCTCACGATGCTTCACTAATAGTCGTGTGTAGCCAGTTGATATTAATTTTGGAAACAAAGATTGAAGCAATTAACGAACCTTAGTCAATCTTTATTATTGAAGGAAGAATAACTACTTATTCAAGTTTTATAGAGAAACAACAGGAACTTTATTCATTTAAACTGTAAAAATGTGCATTGTTTTTAAGAAAACTCAAAGTGTTGCTACTCAACCAATTAAATTTTGTTTTGTATACTCTTTTTTTTCAGCATTTGTGTGTATAGAAAATATATATTTAAGCATCTGTTTATAATATGCATTTAAAGACTCGATTACAATGTGTGATTTATATGTATATCGTAGAACGTACTCTTATGATAAATAATTTTTTGTGTTAGTGCTCTCTTTGAATGATGTTGTATTTTTATAAGTTTTTTTTTTAATCACAATTGTGCAGTAGTTGGAATTTTTATACAAAAATCAAGCATTTAAAACGTTTTTCAGCGTAAAACTTTTGGAATTCTAACTATGGAAAGTCTAGTTTGCGAAAAAAAAAAAAAAAAAACAAACATTTATTTTGTCAGTGTAAACTGTTCATGTTGTATTATAGGAAGCACAATAATTCATATACTAAGGCAAAGTTGAATCTTATATCTGAGTAATATGTTAAGAGAAATTAAGTCATAATAAAGTACAAACTTGATGACTAGATTGTTTCTTGGAAAAAAAACTTCTTGACCAAATTGTACTGCGTTGAACATGTAAGTTTTCTTTTTGTAATATAATGTTCAAGATTTATACACTTGTATGTATCTTTCATTTAAAGAAGCAATATACCAACAAATCGTACATAATGCATTTAGAGACATGTTGAATAAATTTCTTAAAGATAAAAAAAAGTAAGTCTAGAGTTTTTAAAAACCTTATAGTTTGTCATAAGTTATTAAACGTGGGTTATGGTGTTATCGTAAATAAAACTGCGATTTTACTTATTATAAAAATATAAAAAATTTAATAACTTACTTGACGCGTAGAACGTTTTTACATTAGTAATTTACTTATAATAACATCAATATTACTTTGTTTTACAGTTTCTAAATAATGAAAAAAACAACCCACTTGAACTAGTAATGTAGTAGATGATTTGATTTAACTCGTGACAATCATATCTACTTTGACAGAAAGTTGTCAAGTTGACAGCAGTCTAGTAGGGTCGTTATTCATCATTCGGACACTGCCGCACAAGACCCTTTAATCTTTTCTTTGAAACTCTTGTTTTCTTAAAATTTTTTTTCTTAAGTTTCTCTATCGCTGGCAAAAATGAACTCTCATCCACGATGTCCGGTGGTATGATTCTCGATAGACCAATGGGCATACGAAACAGCTGCTGAAAACGTCTTTTAAAGACAATCAGAGCGTGTTGACCTCGCGACGACAGACTAACTCTCGGATCGCTGGTGCTCTCTGATACCGCGGAAAATCGCGAAGAGGCGAATATAACTTCCTGGTATGTCTCCAACGTTTGACGGCTGGGTTCTAAAAACGCCAGAGGAACACAGTCTTCAGGAACGATTTCTGGCTCTGGAATTTTGTCTGGCATCAAATCACTCCACTGAGTTGGGACTAGTTTATTTTGCTTCCAATCGTACTTCATTTGGAAGCTATCACGGAAAGTGTGGGATGACGCAAAGGGCTTGCACTTCAGCAAATAAACCTTTGGCGAGGACTTGATTGGCGCAACCATCATCTTCTTGACTTTTTCGAACTGCATCTCCAGATCTTCTCCCAAATAGTCCCACACATCTTTACTTGGATGTAACTCCATGGTAACTTCGATTTGATGGGTTTGATTGTTGATCGTTAGATCGTTATCTTTGGCATTTTTTTTCCAAACAAACTTCCTGGGGAGGCAAAAGTTAAACGGCAAAGGGGGTATGAATCGCTCATTTTCGCTAAGTGGTTTTTGGGGTCCAAACATCCTCAGTCTGACCCTCTCGATCTCAGCGCCGAGATTCCTTTGTCGACTATCCGTGTAATCTTGTAGCGATGTCAGCAACTCGAAGTACTTCTCAGTGAGCTCGTTGCTGTCTTCGATGTATTCGGGTAGATTGGTGTCCACGTTCAACTTGACGAGAGTGCGGTACAATTTATGGGTGTCTATCGCCAATTTTTCGGGCAAGTACGTTTTTGACTTCTTCTCCTGGTTAGCCGCTTCCCTTTTGAAGTATCTGACTAGCTGATCGTCGTTTTTCAAGTGGTTGACGTGGATTTCCTTGTTCTCCCTTGACCAGGGTGTGTTGGTAGTGTAGGTGACGGTCGTGTGGGCCGGCTGGGTAGCGACAGCTCCTCTGTCGATGTTATTCAGAGTAATGCCCTTCTTGATGTAACGCATGAGACAATTGTAACGTTGTCTTGCCTGGACTCTAGAGACGCCTGGAATGTCTTCTACGATCTTTGCCCATTTGGCGCCGTGCTTCTCGTAAAGATCGAGCAGCTGTGTGTCGTCATCGTACGTCCAAACTTTTCTGACGTGGTCAGTTTTGGATTTTGCGCACAGCGTTTGATAGTGCTCCTTCAGCTGGACATGCGTTCTGTTGGTCAGCACAAGACCGGATATTTTACTGAAGTTGAAACCATACTTTTCCACTGCCTCCAGCAGTTTTTCGTCCTCAGCGGGTGAGAACCTGCCTTTCTTTAGATGCGGCGCTAGGCTGTACGTCCAACGAAAGTAGACCTGAAAACATAGGGAAACATCGTTACACAGAAGCTTCTTTTGATCGATGACAACGTGATAGATTCCTTCACCTGTTGCTTTGTCCAACTGTTCATACAGCTGGCAATGTATCCCCATGGAATGTAATCGCCAACCCTCAACTTTGATACTAAGTGGCAAAGTGTTCTATCATCAAACGGCGTCCACGACTGACCCTTCATTAGGTTTTTCCAATTGTTTGTGTTAAACCTAATAAAACATTGGTAACCACTACGTTTGGTTTTCAAAGATTTGGCAATGGCATTCCAATTTTCAAAATTAAATTTTGCTACTATTTGATTCAATTTTTTGTCCTCCTGAGAGGTCCACTTTTGTTTGTTGATATCAGGGTGTAGAAAAACATTCCACATGACTTCGCACTCCTCTGCGCTGTGCTTATTTTCCGGCATGCTGTTGGCTATTTTTAGCCAGTCGAATTTCATTGCACCCAGGGGTCCAATAGCCTTTTTGACATCTTGCGGTAGTTGACTTGACTTTTTTATTGCGTTATCAATGTAACTCTCATCCGAATCATTTTTTTTCGATAGAGTCAATAAAACCTCGTGCCTTATGGCTTTCAACAAACTACTCTTGTCATCCTGATTCCACCGTTGGATTCTTTGTAGCTGAGCCAAACGCAGCTCACCATTTTTTATTTTAGTTGCAGTGTCTTCGTTCATTTTGGCTGTGTAATGATTTTTATCTTTGAAATAGGGCATACCAGCATTGAAGCTAATAATTTTGGTCCTCTTGGAGGATGACAATTTAGCAATTTCATCAGCAAGCGCCTGTTTTTTTCTAATGCACTCATCGAGCACTGCCTGCATTTCTTCACGAGCATTTAACACGGCATCCAACAATTTTTTATTGAGTTCCAATAAATCTTGTAAATTTTCGCAACTGTAATCATTGTAATTTTTTCCACTCAAATTGTCATCCGTTTTTTCTGGTATATGTTCAATGTCGTCAAAGTTACTTTGTTCTTGATTCTTGGTAAAATTAGTCTCAGTTTTGAATGATAGATTTTCATCTGAAACCACATTACTTGCATCAGATTGAGTTTTGCTTAGATTTCTTTTGTGTTCTATTGCTTGCTTCAAGGCTTGAAGCTCTTCGAGCAATTGACCGTCTTCATCATCACTTGACATTGTCGTTCACGATAAAAAAATGTCTTTCGCTGAAAATAATAGTTGAAGTAACAACAATTAATATCATAATATGAACTTCCAAGTGCATGATGAATGATAACCCTGAGGGATTTTTCAATTTTTTACAATCGTTTTTTCGTGATTTATTTTTGTTTTACAAAAATTAGGGTAGTAAGATTTATTTTACGATACCTCGCGAGATTCAACTTACCAATTGAAGTTGTGGAACAAAAAGGATTTCCCGCAAACAAGTAGGAAAATATCACTGATACGGACGATCTAGGCTTATTTTTTTGCTATTCCGCTTAATTTTTTTCTTTTGTATTTAGTTACATTGCTTTAAAATCACTAGGTATATTTTTACACTTTAGTTGAAAACAGTAAGTACAAATGAAGTTTTTACTCGAGGAAAACTTACAACCTCATCACTTAGGAAATCATAAGTTATACTTTTTTTTTGTTTGGAAAATTGACTATGCACTTTGCCTACGCGTACTAAGAAGTTGCTCTATAGATCTTTCGAGTGTTTACTTAGATGGACAAGTTTAAAGTATTTATTATAAATAAATGCACACAACATTGTGCGCAGTTTCCGCTATCGATGACACCATCAAACTGACCAAAACTAAATAGTAGACTAACCTAATGTGCATGTGACAGCATACCAACTAACCTAACTACGAAAGCCCGGTGGCGGCGGTGGCCCACCAGGCCCACTAGCCAAAAAGATAGAAAACTATAATTTAACGTTATTCATAATGTTGCAGCAAGTTTACAATTTATCTTCTACCTGAAAATCGATCACCGAAACTATGGATATTCTACTTATCTTATATGATTTTTAAAATCAATCTTCACCAGAATGATAAAATCATAATGTTTTAGCCTAACTTTTCACAAAAATCCGAGAAAACTAGTGCTTCCAACCCAGGTAGACTCAAAATAAAATCGAAATACATAAAATGTGTACGCAATACATGTATATAAATCTATATATACACCATATGTTTGAAGTCGATACGGAGGAGTCCGTGCATCATTATCGATATAGTAGGGATTTAGTTTATTCATTGGTGGCCATCGGTACCGACAATTTCTTATCATTTTTTCCAATCACATATATATAAAAAATGTTTATAAATATATATGAATAATTTATATAGATTTATATACATGTATTGCGTACACATTTTATGTATTTCGATTTTATTTTGAGTCTACCTGGGTTGGAAGCACTAGTTTTCTCGGATTTTTGTGAAAAGTTAGGCTAAAACATTATGATTTTATCATTCTGGTAAAGATTGATTTTAAAAATCATATAAGATAAGTAGAATATCCATATTTTTGGTGATCGATTTTCAAGTAGAAGATAAATTGTTAACTTGCCGCAACAATATTTTTAACGTTAAATTATAGTTGTCTATCTGCAATATTAGTTGCGGCTAGTTTATAATTGACTAAATGGCTCTACTGTAAGTATAGTAATAATTATTTGGATCAGCGCCATCTAGCGTTGCGGATTACTGATCTAAAAAGTGGCCCTAAACTTTTCAGCCAGAGCTTTAGCGCGTAGAGCCATTTAGTTACTTTTAAACCAGCCGCAACTCATATTAAAGCAATAAAATAAAAAAATAACGATGTATGTGTTTTTGGCGGCAAGTTAACAATTTATTTTCTACCAAAAAATCGACTTCATATGTATTTACACTTTTGAAGATAAGTTTTCGAGTAAAAGATAGATTGTTAACATGCCGCCAAAAACACATACATCGTTATTTTTTTATTTTATAGCTACAACATGAGTTGCGGCTGGTTTAAAAGTGACTAAATGGCTCTACGCGCTAAAGCTCTGGCTGAAAAGTTTAGGGCCACTTTTTAGTTCAGAAATCCGCAACGCTAGATGGCGCTGATCCAAATAATTATTACTATACTTACAGTAAAGCCATTTAGTCAATTATAAACCAGCCGCAACTGAACAAACAGATAGACAACTGTAATTTAACGTTATTCATAATGTTGCGGCAAATTAACAATTTATCTTCTACGTGAAAATCGATCACCAAAAGTATGGATATTCTATACAAGAAAGATTTCTCGTAGGTGTTTTGTAAAATTCTAATGTCTATATCAGATCGATATCTGTAGGGGAATTTCACCCCAAAAACTCCCTAAAAATATCCTCCAGGTGGACATTCGAACATAGCATATAAAAAAAAGACTGCTCGTTCACTCGTTCTTACGTACGGCGCTGAATCACAAGTAGTGAGAGACACAATATCGAACGTGTATATCTGTCTCTCTCTCTCTCACGTTGTCTACGGTGGGGAGGTTGCATCAGCTGGCCTTATAAACTATATATAGTTTGCAGAGTTATACTGACCCCCACCTTTGGCAATGTGCGAGAGAGACAGATACCCCCGTTCGATTTTGTGTCTCTTTCTACTCGTGCTTCGCCGTACATAACATAAAAACGAGCAGTCTCGAAGTCTACAAGACTTCTATAAGAAATCTTGAAAAAATGTGTTTGCTAAGTAGACGGCGCTGGTTCCGAGCGGAAAAAAACACTCAAATAAATAAAATTATAGCGATACAAGATTCTTACCTCCAAGATAAAACTTTAAAAAGCTAAAATAGGCGATAAATGAACATAGAGTATTTCTAAATAACTATGGGTGCCAAAAATCTCTTAGCCTCGGACGCCCCGAACAAACCTACTTCACCTTGCAGTCGGAACATTTGGAATTGGAATACACGAACGCACCTTCTCGATATCGTCGTGACGGGTGTTTTAGGTGTTTATACCATATAATTTGGTAAATATGAGCAATGTAACATTCACGTTGAGAACAATTGTAATAAATTGTTTGTTTGTGCAAAATCGGCTACCTTAGATTTGTTAATTTATCCACAATCCACCTTGGAGTTTTCGGAGCGCTCCGAGCTCAGAGGCCTGTCTGTGTACTACATATAGGTATAGTCACCGTGCAACTGTTTGTTTATAAACACTGAGGCTCAGTGACTGAGCCTTTGTACGCACATATACCGATATAGCCCACAAATTATAACCTAAAAATACCACTTTACACAATTTCGTCTAGATAATCCCATATACTTGTTACAGAGCAAGTTTACATCAATTTATGCCCTAAAATTTAATGTAAATAGATTTTTACACTTCCTCATGTCATTGCGCATGATCATTTTTTTAATAGTGTAAAACATTGGTATTTTTCAGTATATAATAGCTTTAAAAGCCGTGTTTGTTGCAATGCCTGGAACAAGATGTGCGGTAGCTGTTTGTAACAATAGCCTTGTAAAAACAAAACAGGCGGGAATGGATGTGAAGTACCATCAATTTCCTAAAAATCAGTATATCAGAAACATTTGGATCCAGAAGTGTAGAAGAGGTGGGGAATGGAATCCTAATTCCTGTCACGTTTGTTCAATTCATTTTACGAAAAACGATTACAAAAAGGACGCCTATTATATTCGTACAAAGCACTTAAGACCAACTGGTAGGCTTGTCTAGAGATGTTGTTTTATGCTGTAGTTGTAAATGACAGTTTGAATTAAAAAAAATTTTGTTTCTAGCTATACCGACTTTGTATTTGACAGAGGCTTCTTTTCCATCATCCACACCATTGCAACTAAAAAATCGGTTTAAAAAACTTATAGACGAAAAAATGTCTAGTGACTGTACGAATTTGAGTGATGATAATTTGGAATTTGAAGAAGTATCAAGTAAATCGGATGAAAAAAATTTATTTTTTCAACCTATGCCTGTGTTTGTGTCAGAAGATCTTCATGAAGAACCCATACAAGAACAAAAAGAAGAAGAATTTTCTGACACAACGTCCGATAACCGCGTACATATGAATAGAGATAATTTAAAATCCGAAACAGGGGAAAATAGTTTAACTGGAAGCTCTATGTCCTTCGAGGTAGTAGAATGTGAAAATGACGAGTTAAGTTTTGTTGTGTCAGATGACAATGATTTATGTTACGATGAGACAATAGATAACTGTTGCACTGAAGAATCTCCCGAACTTAAATATATCACTGTTGTGGATAATTCTACACAGGTAGATGAGAATGATTTTATTAAAAACTACAAGTTATTATTGAATAGAAATAAGTCTCTTAAAAAAGAGGTGTTGTTTTGGAAAAATATATGTAAAAAGTTATCGTCTCGAGCATAAAGTTTCAATTCTTAACTTAAAAGTGAATTTCTTCATTACAATATTAGATTAGTTTGTAAATCAATGCCACAAATATAATTTATCGTGTTAATAACTAAGTTCAGAGTTTTTAAACATTTTTTAAAAGCAAATATGACAATATTTTCATTAGTATTGCATAAGCAAGAGTATGTCAGAAAAATATTAAAAAATGTTACACTTTTTTTGATGCAACGTTCAAGATCAATGTTTGAATGAAATATAATATTTTCAAATAATTTTAACTTATTTTTTAAAACACCCAACTTAATCTTATACTGATGCTTGTTTGCTTTATATTCATTTAACGTCTTCTGCTAGCTAGTACCTATAAGCTGCTGAAAGAGAGATTAATGGAACTTTGTTTACTTCTTGTTCTATCGTCGTCTAAATTTAAACTTACTTAATGATAGTGGAAAAAAAAATTATGTTTAACAATTAGGTACATTTCATGTTAACTTTTTCACTAATAAAAAAATACTCAAAAACTATACTTGATTGATTATATTTGTTTATTTCTCTTATTTTTAAGTAATAAGTTAATTATGTAGAACGACAGTTTTAAAAAAATACGTTTATGTTAAGACTTATGTTTTAATTAATTTGATCATTTGACGTGGAATTGTGTAAAGTTATGTTTGTTGTCATCTAGAAGGTTATGATAACCATACCATAACTGAATAATTTTAACAAAATGGAAAATAATCCAGTTGTAACGTGTAATCTGTTTAACGAAGATAAACAAGACGAACTTACCAAGGTATGGCTAAAATTAAGTTCTTAAAAGCTGCACATAGCACAGTTGTTACTTAAAAAAAATTTTTTTCACCCAGTTTGTGCATTTATGCATCGATGAATCGTGCACTCTAAAGGGACCAGAATTTCGTCAGTTTACCAGTGTTGATTGGACCAAAGAACAATTTAATACTCTTTACAGACTTTTATTAAAGCTATTTCACAACCCAAGCTGTTTGTACATTGAAGATGAAAAAGTGCGTTAAATATTCTTCGTTTTCATTTGCAATAAATTTCATACAAACTTTCTACATTCTCATAGATGCCTCCCGAGTACACTCAACTTCCAAAAAATGTACAGAACGTAATTTTAGCTTGTTTGAGAGTTCGAAAAAGTCAGTTGACGGATGCATTGTTAAATGATTATTTGAGTAGACAAGGGCCAACATTGTCTGATTTTGATTGGAGATTAAAGGTGGCTCTATATATTTGAATAACTACGAACTTTAATCGTTGATTACTATTACATTACTACAGTATTCTTGTACTCTGTTCTACTTTACAGTACGTGATGGGATCAAGTAAGATGGCATCGATTAGAGAACCACTTTTACAGCTAGATTTGATTTTGAAAGACAAGCAAAAGGAGCAAGTTCTTGGATTAGAACTCAATTTGGAGGAGTTGGACTTGATGATAGACGCTATTGAAAGTAGAGTTACTTAGTTTTTTACTTGTCAATGCCTAATCAAATTTTTTTTTAATTTTTGTTTAGTCTATTTTTTACTTTGAAACGATTGTTCTCATCTGTCTGCGATAGACACGTGTGGTCAATTGTAAGACTAAGAACTTTTTCGTACGTACAAGCGTATTTGCACTTACTGCAACTCAATAGCTATTCTGACAATTTTATTCCAGTGAGAAAAAAATTGTAAACCAACTGAAAATTCACTTAACTGTAGGTCATGAAATAATGAACAAAAAAACATCAACTGTACATTGATAGTAATTCAAGAAAACCAATAATTATGATAATAAGAATAACAATAATGATAATAAAAACTACTTATGATGATTACATTTAATTCGTCTCGTTCAAATACATACCAAATGCATTTTCCTTTCTATCTTGAGGCGTGATGTCATGAATAATATAATAATGAACATAATACAAATAACAAAAATAATGTAACTATGTTGAATAAGTCAAACGTATCAGTAATTAAAAACAAAAATATTAATCCTTATCATTTTTTCTACAGTCATCTATCGTACGGTTCAATAGAAGTGATTTGGTACACCATTTGACAAATGTGACAATAACGAGGGATTACAAGATCAGTATCTTCTATACTCGTAACTTGTTTTCCCTTTTGGTTTTACCAATGAAGTCTAAATAATACATAGTTCACTTAATTTGTTTCGTATCTTGTTTATGTATCATGTGAGGAAATAATTGTGTAGTAAAACAATTGATATGGACAGTACTTCAGGACTGTTCATTATTTACTTGATGGCACAGGGTACATACGTATAAAACCACTACAAAAACTTCCAGTACATTTCTTTGTTGGATCAAATAACTGGAAAAAATGCATAGACTCTTGTCGATTTTTAGGAATGCTTTTGATAACCAGTCAGCCTTGAAACTTTGAGAAAGAAAGACCACAGCGTAAAATAAACACTGGTGTAATATTTCATTCATTCATTTTATAAGTTAACAAAATTGTTTAACTTTCGTGGTAAAATGGAGTAATAATTATTTTTATGTTATTATATTTCATAAAAAGTTATCTTATTCTGCAAAATCATATCGAATTGATACTAATACAAAATTTTTTGTATTTTCAAAATTCTATTTAGTTTTATTACTATATTAAAATAAAATTTTTTTTTCTTTAGCTCGGAGCTTGTATAGTTACAATGATCAATAAATTATTGAAAAGGAGATCAAAAAAATTAACATTCTTGAAAAAATTATCGTTTATAAAACTATTTTACTTCTATAATCGAATGCTTGGATCCGTAACTTTTAATTTTAAAGAGAGTTCCATTAGAAATAATAACTTCAAACGACGGACTTTTAAATATTCTTATACAGGAATAATCTATAATATTTGTTTACTTGTAGTTTTACTTATATTTCAATATTTTTACATACGGGATTTTAGGGAATTGTTCATTGGAACTAAAAATCCAGTTTACCAATCATACGCGTACATTTATAACGCAGTAATTTTTTTTGCAACTAATTTTATCGTGATTCAAACTACTGTTAAACAAAAAATGTTTATAGCTATTTAAAAAAAATTAAATTTCGTAAAAGAGTCAGTGGAAGGATTAAAAAACATTGTATATCATGATAAATCGAGTTCCCAAGAAATGACAAAATATGTTTATTTTATGTTTTGGAAATATATTTTATACACGGTTTTAACAATTTTATACATCTTTTACACTGGTAATATAAAGAAATCAATGCCAATTTTAAGTAAACAAATTCATCTAATGATAATGACTTCAGTAGTATTTCAATATATATTTTTGTCTATCTCAATAAGAATTCTATTCAAAGTTATTTGTCATTATTTAAAAAACGTTTTTGAAAATTCTATTAATATGGCAAGCATTGATTACAACCTCGTTAGTAAACGCGAAAAATATGTAACCACATTAAAACTACGAAAATTGTTTGTACCATTGATTGAAATATCTAAAGATATATCAGATTTGTACTCTACGTCGATATTTCTGTGCATCGTTGCGTACGTAGCAACCATTTTACGTAGCTGTCAATAGGTTATACAATTGTTTATTCGTGAAAATGATTATACTATGGTTTCAAATTCAATAGTAGGTATAATAGCAATCATTGATATCTTGGTCATGATATTATTATTAACTGAGTCCGCTGAATCAGCAAATAAACAGGTAATACATTATGAATTGAAAATTTTCATATCCATAGTTAAAGTTTTGTAACACTTGTGTTCGATACAGACTCAAAAGACAAACTCTGTCTTGATCCAATGTATGATGTATAACGATAACATGAAATTCGATAACATTACATATCAAGTAAGATTTAAAACTGATAATTTTATTACTAAAAACTTGTCAAATAAAAATGAAGAAAAAAAAAAATCATTTTAGCTCTTACTATTTTCGCACCATTGCAAGACGACAGATATCCAATTTCAAGCCTTAAATGTTTTTCCACTCAAAAGATCATTATTCGTGTCCGTAAGTATATTTTCATGAATTTATAAAAATTATCACATCCAAAAAATAAACGTAATGTTATTAAAATAATTAATTATCATTTTACGTTTCCAGATGATAAGTTTCACTACAACATATTTTATTATTTTATTCCAATTCCAGAAATCATATTTTGATAGTGACATGTTAAAATAATAATCAGATGATTAATTTATAATGGATCGATCACGACTCTAAATATGGATTTTTACATTGTAAAATACCTACAATCATACAGTCATGTTTCTGTCTTTAATAAAATAAATTCTACAAAATTGAAAAATTATTTTTATTTTACTATACACTCTTTTTTTTGTGATTCTTGGAACTCGAAAATTCATTTGTTGAAAAAAACTTATTGTTTAGTTTTAAATAAATCAATAGAATCCATTAATTGCGTCATCACGGCATTTATGTTTTTTACAAAATTGACATTCTACACACTCTACACGAGTATACAGAGTTCAAAGTTTTACATGTGATATTTATACCTAAAGTATTTTTAATATTAGAAGTATTAGACATGACTTATGAAATTATTGTTTTCAGTAATTTTATATTTATCTATAATACTAAACTATGTGTCATGCCAACATACAAAAAAAAAAAAATTTGGATATTCCGTTGTCTCTTGCTATAAGTAGTACTTTAAATTAATTTAAATAACATAAAAATAACTTTAACTATGGAAGAAAAAATTTTCTACTACAGACAAGATTTTTTTTTTTTTATTTATATTTTTAATTTCATACGGATTAGTCCAGCGCTTTCAGCTATCAAGCTGGACATCAAGGTATTTTTTCCCAGAAAAAATTTTCACTTCCATATAAATAATCAAATAATAATAATCACAATAATCACGAAAACAGTAAAAACAATAAGATCACGTGAAACGGGTTGAATGTACCAATGAATTAAAAATGAGAACATTAATAACTTTTTCCTAAAGTCACCCATCGTTTTAATGTTAAGAAGCAGCAAGGTATTTCGTAAAACAATTTAGCATACAATTTCACAGGAGTGACAACTTGAAAGATCTCAAGATTAGTATCTTCTACTTTGGACTCTTCACTGACGCATTTTTCCATTACAACAGAGCCTATAAAGTACGTGCTTAATACATTAATAGCTTACAGAGTACGCATGTGTATGTGCATATAATTGTCTTGTTGCTGTAGCAAAGGGTTAAGAAATATATTGCCAGAGACAGAGATAGAGAAAAAAAGGGGGGTTATTTTTCAATACTATTTACTGTTTTCATGATAGTAAAGGGTATACGGCATTGCTAGGCCAGGATGCAAGTCATGCCTTCAACTAATGTTATTAGAAAATGAAGGGACTTTCTTGGGTAGACCTTTTTTATAATCAGTCAGCCTTAAAACTTCAAAAGAGTAGAACCGTAACAAAAAATAGTTAACCACAATTCAATACTTAAATTTTGTTAACTTAAAAGTACATCATTTCTCAAATTTTTGATTGGTATTTTTTTTTCAGGTAGAATATTTATATTGTATATAAAATTTTTTTTTTCAACGTATTTAAGTTAACATATTAAATTTATTTTGTAAATTTTATCAGTTATCTTTTTTTAAGTCGAAGTTTTAACTGTGGAGATGTTCGAGGGATTACTGTCGATAATTCAAACAAATGAATTATCGTTAATGAAACTGTTTTACATTTATAATCGAATGCTTGGATCTATAACTATGAGTTTTAAAGAGATTCCGTTAAGAAATAATAGTTTTAATCGCTGGTCGTTTAGTTATTCATGCACTGGAATATTCTATAATATTTGTTTACTGACATTCTTAATCCGAATTCAAATTTTTTATTTACAGAATTTTTCAAAACCGTTTGTTTTCAATAACAATCCCATAACTACATGTTCTTCACACATTTATAATTCAGTTTTTTTCGTGGCTATCGATTTAATTTTAATTCAAACTGCAATTAGACAAAAAACAGCCGTAGCTGTCTTCAAAAAATTCAATTCCGTAAAGGAGTCAGTAGGAGAACTAAAAAAAATCTTAAACAATGATAAATGGATATCACAGGATGCTATGAAATATATTTATTTTATACTTTTCAAGTACATTGTATACATGGTCGTAGCGATTTATCTTTTCCTGTATCATACCGATTCAATGACGCGAATAATGTTCTCAACGAAACTTATTCATCTTATAATATTAGATGCGATAGTGATACAATATTTATTTTTTACTATCTTGATTGCAATTTTATTTAAAATGATGCGTCATTGTTTAAAAAATTTTTTTGAAGAATCGACTAGCGTGTCATGTATTGGTATCGATCGTGTCAGAGAACAAGAAAAATTGCTGGCAATTGTAAAATTGCGGAAAATTTTCATGTCATTGACTACGAAATCTCAAGATGTATCTGATTTGTACTCTACATCGATATTTTTTTGCATTTTTGCGTATCTTGTGTCTCTTTTACGCCATTGTCAAGTTTTTATTAATATTTTTCTCCATGAGAATAATAATGCTTCAACTATAATTTCGGTACCGTTTTTAATAATTGATATAATAATTATGATCTTATTATTGACTGACTCTGCTTATTCAGCAATTAAACAGGTAATAAATTACTTATTTAAAAATTGTATTTTTATTACTAAAACATAATTCCAAAATTTTTTAACACTACACAGAGTCAGAAGGTTAACTCTCGATTAATCCGTTGCATGATACATAACGATACTCACATACGCGAGAAGAACGAAAGTATAACATATCAAGTAAGGTTTAAAGCTAACTCTGACACTAGTAAGAAAATTGTAAAATTAGAATAAAAAT